TCCCCCTGTCTACGAATATTTTTAACTAAGTATGTCCCGATTTTTCCACTAAGCAGTATGGGGCTGTCTACCGTAGTCCCCTCCTTATTCGGCCGAGTGTGGTCGATTGCGTGAACAGGCACAATCACTCGGTGAGGGTCGGTTGGGTCGGGCGAGCGGCGTGACCTGTCAGTAGAGGGCCCGTCTGCTACTGACTCCCAGCGTTTCCCTGCTGCTTGGTCTGTTTCTGCTGCTCGGCTTCCCCCTTTCTCTTAGCATTTTCCGGGCATTCACTCTTGACCTTGCTTGTACTGTCACATATATATACCTGCTCTTGCTTGTCTAGCTCTATATATACATATGTGTACCCCTGCATGTGAACTGGCCTTGTGGCCTTGTTGTTGTGCTCGGACTGTGTGGTGACTTTGTGATCCACCCTGAGCTTGCCTTGCTTTGCTTTGCTTGACTGGTCTTGTGACCCCTTGTTCTCCCCCACTTTGCCTATGGGGGTGTGTCAGACATATATGGCATAGCTGTTGTAGGCTATAGTGGGGTAGCACATATGGGGTACAGCTTTCTAGGGTTTGTATTTGTACCCAACTTTCACTTAGTCATTTCATTCTCGTTCAGTTCTTCTCAGAAGCGGCATTTGCGGCGACGGCACGTATCGTGGCGCCCTCGTTCGTCCCACGAGGCCGATGTCGCCAATGGCTGCTTCCGTAGGACCCCGGTCTCGGTCGGCGAAAGAAGTCAAGTTTCTCCGCCATAGCGAGAATTTCTTGAAATTCGGTGACGCCGCGAAGCTGGATTTCCTGAGCGATGTCCTGCTTCAGGCCGCCGATGTAGCAATCGATGCGCTCGCTCTCATGCATATATCCCACCTGCTCGCATAGCGCCAGAAATCCGCTCGTGTAATCTTGGACGGAACCGAGTTGGCGCCAAGTGCGGAGCTTTTGTCGCGCCGCGATCGAAGCCGCGATTGGCTCAAAACGAGCGCGCAGACCTGCGCACCACGCGTCCCACGTGCGATACTGGGGCACCTCCACAAAATACGACGGCGCCCAGGGTACGGTTTGTCCTTCCCGTGTCGGTAGAGTCGCGTAGTCCACCGGCTTCGTGACGATGACGCGCCACGAGTCCATGGCAGGTCCTCGCAGCAACGACACGGCGTAGCGAATCTTCGCCGTATCCCCCGAGACGTAGTTCGCGTCAAAGAAGACGTTCAACGTGAAGAGCCACGCCTGAACGGTAGGACCACCCCGCTGACTTGGGTCAAAGTATGGTGGACGCTGCGGCTTTAGCGGCATCGGCGACGGAAGAGTTGATTCGCTGGCCGGCACCGAGATCGTTGTCAAAATAGTAGGTAGAGTAAGGAGCCATAGCTAGGGTTTACCTAGCTAGGCAAGAGAGAGTTAGGCAAAAGAGAGGGTTTCACTAGCAGCAGTTGGGATACATATAGCAAACCCTAATTGGGTTGTGCTCGCTATAGAGCACCCCACTGCAGGCTAGATAATATAACATTCTGACACACCCCCATAGCCAAAGTGGGGTGTAATTAGCAGAGCAAGCAAAGCAGAACAAGCTCAGGGTGGATCACAATGTCACCACACATTCTGAGCACAAGTACAAGAAGCAATAGTTTAAAGTTCACAATCATGAGCAAAGCTAGAGGCTATCGCATAGGGCAAGTGAGGAGGAGGAGGCGAGACTGTAAGAGGAGAGGAGATAGGAGGCGACGACTGAAGCTGCAGACACACGGGCAACAGGAGCACGCACACAGTGGCTACCGGGACAGCGCCCCGGACTACTGGAGTAACTGGCTCACGGGCTACAAGGAGCTACAGGAGCAACGAGCCCACGGGCGACAGGCGCAGCAGGCTCTCTGGGCTACCAGGACAGCGCCCCGGACTACAAGTGCTGCGGACGACAAGACGGCAGCCTCCTCTCAGTCTCCCCAAACAGTCCCACCCCCCTTGACACACACCCCCTGCTTCACCCCTAGCTCCACTCCCACATCACCCCCCTAGCACCACTCCTTCGTCTCCCACACACCCACCCCCCTCAGCGGCAGCTGCAGCAGCGGGAGACGGAGGAGGAGCAGGAGCAGGGGACTGCGCACACCCACCACTCCCATACCCGTCACCCCCATACCCTGAGTGTGCGGTAAGAGAGCTCAGGTGTGCGCGAAGCATGCACAAGCGTGCGGGAAGAGAACTCGGGTGTGTGGTAAGCAAACGCAGGTGTGCGGGGAAGGGGGGGCCGCAGGTAGGCGACGGGGCCGTAGGGCCGCAGGTAGGCGACGGCGCCGTAGGTAGGCAGGTAGGCGACGGGGCCGTAGAGCCGTATGTAGGCGACGGGGCCGGGGCCGCAGGTAGGCGACGGGGCCGTAGGGCCGCAGGTAGGCGACGCGGCCGTAGGTAGGCAGGTAGGCGACGGGGCCGGGGCCGCAGGAAGGCGACGGGGCCGTAGGGCCGCAGGTAGGCAGGTAGGCGACGGGGCCGTAGGGCCGCAGGTAGGCGACGGCGCCGTAGGTAGGCAGGTAGGCGACGGGGCCGTAGAGCCGCAGGTAGGCGACGGGGCCGTAGGTAGGCAGGTAGGCGACGGGGCCGGGGCCGCAGGAAGGCGACGGGGCCGTAGGGCCGCAGGTAGGCACGTAGGCGACGGGGGCGGGGCCGCAGGAAGGCGACGGGGCCGTAGGGCCGCAGGTAGGCAGGTAGGCGACGGGGTCGTAGGGCCGCAGGTAGGTGACGGCGCCGTAGGTAGGCAGGTAGGCGATGGGGCCGAAGAGCCGCAGGTAGGCGACGGGGCCGTAGGTAGGCAGGTAGGCGACGGGGCCGTAGGGCCGCAGGTAGGCGACGGCGCCGTAGGTAGGCAGGTAGGCGACGGGGCCGCGAAACCGCCGCGTGCGCCTAGGGTGCGCGGTGGGCAGAAAACCGCCACGCATCCCGAGCGCATGGCGTGCAGAATACCGCCGCGCGAAGCAGGAAACCGCCGCGCGCCTCGGGGCGCACGGCGGGCAGAAAACCGCCGCACACCCCGAGCGCACGGCGAGATGAAAAAAAAACGCCGCGCTCCGAGTGCGCGGCATGAAGAAAGGGTCGCGCGTCCGGGGCGCGCGACAGCAGTAGAGTAGCGGAAGCTTTAGGTGGTGGGCCCACCCACAGGATCGACCCAAGGGGATCGACCTGCTCTGATAGCATGTCAAAATAGTAGGTAGAGTAAGGAGCCATAGTTAGGGTTTACCTAGCTAGGCAAGAGAGAGTTAGGCAAAAGAGAGGGTTTCACTAGCAGCAGTTGGGATACATATAGCAAACCCTAACTGGGTTGTGCTCGCTATAGAGCACCCCACTGCAGGCTAGATAATATAACATTCTGACAATCGTGGCTCGAGGCTGAGTCCTGGCCGCATTCATCGCGTCGGGGTGTGTCGTGCCGTGGTCGTCGTCTCCGTCATGGCGGATGACGCCATCACTTGCGGCGCTCGCGGGCTGCCCCACACTTCCGTGCTGTGATGTCTGTGGTGCGGGCTGAATCGGAGTGCCAGGTGTTTGGGATTGTGCCCGTGTGAGGTCGTTTTGGAGGGACGAGCGTTCTGCCGTCAGCGTCGCAATTTCCTCGGCACTCTCGCGGATTTGTCGCAGCAGATTGTTCAAGTGCTCCTACGTGAGAGTCGTGACGTCGATATGTTCAGCCATTTCGAAGGGCGTCGACTCGTCTTAGTCTAGGCGCAGTCGTGGCTGCACGCGTTTACGAGAGAACGCGAGGACAACGGCTCCTAGGTGCTAAGGTACGTGAGTCCATTCGAGTGAAAAATCAAAAGTTGATTTCCTAGGGTGCGGAGATGCGCGGTCCGAAAGAAAGAGGCTCTGAATACCAAGTGTTACGGGTGCAATGAATCGAAGTAGCGAGAATTGCACTAAGGTGCCAAACGAGTACAAAATGTGAGCGAAGGCATGAGCGAACATTTATACGCGAAACATGTAAACGGTAACGTGGTGCGTGCGAGCTAGCTAGTGCTACGCTGGAAGCGAGGCTCGGGCTAGTCCCGAAGCGTAGGCCGACACGGCCAGGCCAGCAGTGTGAGGTTTGGTGAAACAGTGCGCGCGAAGTCCGCGAAGCCCCGTTAGCAGTAACGGGCGAACAACGGCTGTTGCTGTACGCGATGTAGTCGGGCTCCGTAAGGAATGCCGAGAAAATTCCTTACACTGATCAGCCAAATTGCAGCAACACTTCCCTCGAGCTCTGCGTCCCCGAATTCTCCGCGGTTGACTCCCCCCTAGATTTTGCCGGGCCAATTCCCCCCACCTTTCCGCAACCCCCGCGCGCCTGCCAGCAAACCCAGCCAGTCAAACGAGCGCGCAGAAGGAAGCCCAGCGCGTCAGGTGAGCTGGTGTCAGCGCGTGGACTCAATTTTCACCCATAAATGCCTTTCACCTGTCGAGTCCAGTGGCCAGTCCCATTCCACGCCTTGTCATTCACATCAGTCTTGCTAGTGATATGGTGGCTCGCAGTGCTCTATCCGTCGCTTACGGGTGTGATTCAGATCATACGTATCAATCTTATCGATTGCCGATATTTGCCTGTTACTCGTGGCATATATATCGCTAGGCATGCGATGGTTCACCAGTCACGCGATGGGAATTGCGAGCCAGCGTTTTTTATGGTCTCGCGATACTGAGTCGATTCATCACCTGATCCAACCCGCCATATTGTTTTGTACCGCACGAATCCAGCCTTAAATGCTGTTACATGCGACGACACCACCGTGTGTCATCCTGATGATACCAACCTAGACATCACCATACGTCACTTACCCTTGGCTTTCAGACACGACGCTTTTCCACCAGCCTGTTCAGAATAGGGTAAACTCCTTGTATTTGTTATTCCGTATTGATCAGCCAAACAAGTCATAACAGATATTTCCACACTTTCTCCCAAGAGCTTTAATCAGCTTAGACTGTTCACCCCTCGCTATACAAGGATCGTTCATCTTTTCCGCCATACAAATTGGGGACCCCGCAATGGCGGCAGCGACGGCGGGTTGCGCGTGCGTGTGCCACGGGGAGTGGTCGGCGGCGGTGGTGGCGCTGCGGCAGCTGGAGGAGTGGCAGAGTCGCGCCGCGCAGTACATAACCCTGCTGGAGAACGAAAAGGCGGCGGCCGACGCGCAGTTGGTGCAGCTTCAGGAGACGCGCGCCACGGAGGTGCGGGAGGGGATGAGAGGAAGGGGGAAGGGAAGTTGGGGGGGGGTAAAGGGGGCGGTGAGGGAGGAGGGGAAGGAGGAGAGGGGGTGAGTGGGAGGTAATTCTGGTAAAAAAAAAGGTTGAGAAGTGAGTCTCCATTTAGCGTTTCAATTTCAGCCTTTCCCCTCGTCCCCTCTCCCCGTTCCCCCTTCCCTTTTTCCCTCTTCCCCCTCTCCCCCGCTCAGGCCCAGGCGTGGGAGGAGCGAGTGAGGACGGCGGAGGGCGCAGTCCAGCGCGCGGAGGAGGAGAGGCGGAGGGAGGGGGAGAGAATGGAGGAGGAGAGAAGAAAGGTGGCGGAGAGAGTGGAGGAGGAGAAGAAGCGGGAGGGGGAGAGAGTGAGGGAGCAGGCGGAGAGGCAGGGGCGACTGAGGGAGGTGCATCTGCAGACGCGGCTCAGTCAGCAGCAGCAGGAGATAATTCGCCGGGATAGAGCAGCCATGTACGGAACGAACCGCACTGACATCACCCTCCTTTGAGGCTCTTTTTTTCATGTATATATTTTCTTTGTGGCTCACTTCAAGCCTTTCTCGTGCTATGAGCCCCTGCTTGTTCTTCTCCCATGCTTCAAACCCCCACCCCTTCCCCCACCGGATCTTCACCCGTTGTGTGGTCCTGTTTCTCATCCCTATCCCCATCACGTGCCACCACCATCACGCTCCCCATGGCAGGGAGATCCACGCGTTCTGGCAGGAGGCGGTGAGGGAGCGCAATGAGGCGCTCATGGGGACGAAGCAGGCGCAGAGGGAGCTGCGGAGCAGAGACCAGGCGGACAAGGAGAAGGTAGGTCAAAGTCAAGAAACATGAGTTTCAGTATCCTTTCTTTTTGTTGCTGCCATCCCAAAATCCTTGTTGGGCTGCATTGCACCTTCTCTTCAGTTATAACTGCCTTTTCCCCTCGTCTTTTCCAATCGCAAAAGATTTGCACAAATTTGTTTGTTTTTTGGATGGCGTGATCACCCATCCTCGCCACCAAGGTGCAAAAAAACGACGTTTTTTTCAAAATTTGATCGTAAAATACCGTATCGTAAGAAACGATCGTAAAATACGATAAAAAACGGTTTTTGAAAATAAATACTTTTGGTGCAAAAAAACCTTCGTTTTTTTCAGTAAAAAGACCAAAACTGCTGCTGAAACAAGGGGATTGACTGGTGAGAAGAACAAGGGGGCCGTTAGAAGTGCTGATGATGCAGCGGAAGATTGTTAGAAGTGCTTTTGTGATCAGAACAGCATCTTTGAAGTTGAAGAGTTTTTTTTGTCTAACAAAAAAACGGCGTTTTTTTTCCCAAATGATACCGTAAAAACCCATCGAAAAAAACAATCGTATTTTTCGACAATCGTTTTTTTCTACCTTGCTCGCCACACATGTGCATGCATGTGCGGATTGTGATGCAACGGCAGGTGGAAGTGACCAAGGCGTTGATGCGGCAGTGCGAGGAGTGCCGCAAGGAGAAGGACAGCGCGTTGCAGGCGCTGGCTGGCGTGCGGAAAGAGAATGAGGCTCTCGAGGTCAACCTGCAGCGCCAAGGAAAGGTGAGAATGGTTGTTATTGTGATGGTTATGATGGATGTGTGGCATGCACTGGCCGGTGTGCAGGGAGAGAATGAGGCTCTTGAGGTCAACTTGCAGCGCCAGCCTCCAGGGGAAGGTGAGAATGGTTGTGATCGTGGTGGTTATGATGTCGTTATGTTGAGAATGGCCTGCAGGGCGTGCTGGTACATCTGGACTTCATACATGCCCCACGACTCATAAACCACATCTCCCCTCTCCCACTCCTCCCTCCGCCTCCCCCCTGCAAGCAGATGATATCGTGGCTGATAGGCCTGAACTCGGAGCTGGTGGAGGGCGGTGAGGCGCTGCAACAGACAATTGCTGAAGCACCAAAATCATCAGCCACATTCGCTCCCCCACCCGCCCCCACCTGCTTCCACTTGCACCAGGTGATTGAGCGGGAACTCAGCGCTGGCAGAAGGCAACGAGGCGCTGCAGCAGACAATCACTGAGGCGCCGTAAGAATCCTCCCCCATCCGCTCCCCCCTCATCCCCCTTCGCCCCACACGCCCCTCTCCCCCTAGAAGCAGGTGATAGAGCGGGTGATAGATTTGAACGTCGGAGTTGGTGGAGGGCAACGAGGAGCTGTAGCTGCGGCAGAGGGAGATGGAGAGGCATGCGGGGGAGACGCCTCATACCTCATCATATTACACATTACCCACACCTTCCCTCCCCCTCCCCCGCCCCATTCCCTTGCAAGCAGGTGATAGAGCGGCTCATCGACCTGAACTCGGAGCTGGTGGAAGGCAACGAGACGTTGCAGCAGGTGATTTCTGTGGCGCCCTAAGAATCAACCACGCTTTCCTCCCCCATCCTCTCCCTGCTCCCCCCCTCCCCCGCCCCATTCCCGTGCAAGCAGGTGATAGAGCGGCTCATCGACCTGAACTCCGAGCTGGTGGAAGGCCACGAGGTGCTGCAGCAGCGGCAGAGGGAAATGGTTGGTGAGATACTCTCATTGCGGAGGCACGTGGGGGGCGTGGGAGGGGCTGATAGTGGGGGAGTGGGAGAGGGAGGGGGAGAGAGTGAGGGAGAGATACAGGGAGAAGGAAACGGAGAGAATGAAACATTGAGACAGAAGGAAGGACGCGAGCAGCAAGAGAAGGGGCGGACAGAGGTGTTGGAAGCAGCGCAGGGAAGGCGAGGAGAGGAGCATGGGGCAAGAGATGGCCATGCTAGCAGCAGGATGCCAGGTGGGAGAGGGATGGATGAGAGGGCAGGTGGGGGGGATGGTGGGGAGCGTAGGAGCGGTGGAGGCGAAGCAGGGGAGGAGGATGGGGACGACGGGCCTGTTCCGGTGTCGTCCTTCCCCACAGAACAGCCCCCTTCGTTACAGTCACATGCAGCCGGGTTACTGGATGAGAGGCAGCAAGCAACGCCCTCGTTCTTTGCCTTCTTCTCGAGTAAGCCCGCTGCTGCACCCCGTGGTGTTGCTGCTGCTGTTGCTGCTGGTGCTCCTGCTTCTTCTGCCCCTGCTGCCACTGCTGTTGCGGCTTCTACCACTGCTGCGGCACCCCCCACTGCAGCAGCAGCAGGGCCGTCCAGAACTGATTCTAGTGCTGGCAGTGCCCCTTCCGGCCCTATTGATCCCACAGCTGCCGCTGCCCGTGTTCATGATACCAGCAGCAACGCTGAAACGTCTAGGGACCATCGCCCAAGAGGGGATTTAGGAGCAGATTCAGTGCGGCATCAGGAAGGTGATGGTGGTGCGTGGGCAGAGGGAGGGATGGCAGCGGGGGAGTGTGATAGGGAGAACACAGGTGGACGGCAGGGTAGAGATGGGTTGGGCTTGAGAGGTGGTGGGCGGGAAGGAGGGGCAGGGGAAGAGTCAGCAGCGAGGGGCAGCAGTGGTGGGAGCGGCAGTATTGGTGGTGCACACGCAATGCATCACCAGCAAGACAAAGAGAGGGGAGGGCAGCAGCAGGGATCTGTGCGATTGATTCCAGACCAGCAAGGAAGGGCGACGAGCGCTGCATCTGTCAGTTCTGCTTCTGGAGGGGATACAGGTGATGATGACACAACTGTGGCTTCGCAAGCTCTCTCTGCTTCTGCACCTGCTGCTACTCCTGCTTCGGGTCCTGGAGATGATAGGGATGAATTTCTATCAGGAGGGCCTTCTATAGGTGAAGATGGAAAAGCAAGGGGTGATTTACATTCGGATCAAGCCACAGGTGTGCAACACGCAGGAGACACTGGCGTCATGGTGGAGAACAATCAGCTGGATGTCGCATGGCAAAGGAATAACCAGAAACGGCTGGGAGCTGCGTGGAGTGCTGTGAGGGGAAACGCCAAAGGATTATTCTCGTACATTGTTGGGGCAGATAAGGTGACTGTAGGCTCATGAATGGAGACAACTCAGCTTTCTTTATGGAATATGTCATATTGGCCTGTACAGATTACTCTGCAGTGTATAACCGTACACTGAATCGAGTATGAGTCAACACTCGGCGACTCAATCCAGCTTGCAGGAGGGGGGGAGAAATGAGGGCGAACCCTCCTTGTTGGCTGGCAGTCCTCGTCAGCAACGGCCAGGGAGAGATGAACCATGTTCCGAAAAATAGTGCGTTTGTACGTGTAGTTGCTGTTTGTCTACGCGCGCAACTGAAATGCTGTTGGGCAGACGCATTATGTGATTGGTTGGGCTGCTTCGTTCGGGTAACTGGTGGAGGGTGTTTGCTCTGCTGGCTCATCCGCCAATCTCTCGCAAACGTTTTCGCGAAGAATCGCCGCCCCAATGGAACTGTGCCTCCTCACGATAGAAGCACGTGCTCCAAAGGTGAGCGGATGGAAAGCGACGGTACAGCTGTATCAAAAGAAACTTTACTGCTGCTTCTTGTGTACACGAACAACAGTTTTGAGTGCATGGCCCGAGGTGGGATGGATTGGTCAGTACACCCACTTCACCTAGAAAATGCCGAGAGAACCTGCCCGACCTTCTCCAAGCCCCTCTTCACCTTCCCTCGAAATTGTCCCCCTCATGCCCTCCTCCCTCTCGGTGGCAAGCACCTTGGGATTGTTTCCCTCCAACGACCGCCACCATTACAGAAAACGGATAGAGCCAGTCAAGTTCAGTTTTGACCGACCTACCAACCTCATTTGCAATAGGTTTCTTCCCGTGTTTGTGCTCGTTATTTATGACGCGCCTCTCGTATCTCTCAATTGTGAGTTCTCAACTTTGGTGCGGTTGTTAGGATACTTGAACAAAACTATAGCTAGGCACTGTCAACCCGAGGAGAAAATTGGACATCTTCATGTTGGCTAGCCCCTCCCGTGCCAACAGTAGCTAAAGCCTACCGTACGGGAGTTTGCGAGATAGTTTCGTTCAGTCACTCTTTAACAGCATATATATAAATATTCACTCAAATGCCACCCATGGACGATAATTTAGGATTTGATTTTCCAATACCACTGAAACCAGAAGACGACAACCCCGAAACTGGACCCAATTCTGGAAGCTACCCAGTCGCCGATGGGGAAGCGGGGAGCGACCGCGGAGGAGGGGGCGGAGGCGGAGGCGGAGGGGGGGGATGGCAAGGGGAAGACGTCGAATGGCAAGGCGGTCCGATGTCGGACTTCCAGGGCCTTCCGGCTCGGGTAGAGCCCGAGCCTACTGACGTGGAAGGCATGAATGTGCCAATGCCGGATGTGACTCTACGAGACGAGCTCTCCGAGTCGCTGATGCCGCTCAAATGGGTGTTGTTTCCGGAAGCCGACCCGGTACAGCAGTTTCGCGATAAGACGTGGAAGGAGAAGATTTGGATATTCCTAGTGGGAGTGTTTCCGATTCTGTCATGGCTGCCGAAATACGATCTACGGTTCTATCTGCTCGGCGACATCATCGGAGGGCTCTCCGTCGCCATTATGTCCGTGCCGCAGGTGAGACGCCGCCGCCGTGCCCATGCCGCAGGCGAGGCTTCGACGCCGTGCCCGTACCGCAGGCGAGGCGCCGACGTCATGCTAGCTCAGGACGGGTCAATGCCAATATTTTCTTTCAAGCTTCTTAACGCATAAGCACGTACAGGACTTACAAGCAGCCATAAAGTATCCCACGCAGGTTAAACTACCCAGTTAGTCACACCTACCGCTTTCATGATCTTTTGCTCCCGCTCCGCATCATCCCCGCCCTTTCCCTTTCCCCCTGTCTTATACGCGTCCCCCCTTGCTCTTCCGCAACGCCATCCGTCAGGACGTGTCGTACGCCAAGTACGCCAACGCGCCCAAGGAGTTCGCTCTCTGTAAGCCGCGCTCGCCCGTTCCCCCTCCCTCCCTTTCAACACATCCGCGCCATGCTGCTACAAGCCTCTTCCTCCTTCCCCCACCCCACCTTTCTATTCTACCCCCCCTCTCCCCTGCTTGTTTTTTTACGGGCACGTCAATAATTGTCTTTGTCCCTTCCCCGCCTTTCCTCACCTCACCGTTCTAACCCCTCTGCTTCCAATATCGTAGCATTCTCAAACAATTCTTGCCTGGCTTCTCGCGCCGCGCCGTCAACTCCTTTCCCGAACCCCCGTCCACCGTTCTCAACAGCTTTCACCTTTCCCGTTCCCCAACCGCCCGCTCACTGTGTTCAACCGCTCTCTCCTCCCTCGTTCCCTGACCCCCATCCACCGCTCTCAACCGCTCTCCCCCGTCCAGACACGAGTTTCCTGCCGCCGCTGATGTATGCGATCCTGGGGTTGTTGAAGCACACGGTGTTAGGGCCAGTGTCAATGTTTTCTTCTCATTCAGCGCCTCAATAACCCGTTTCCACCGCTCTCAACCGCCCTCCCCGTCCAGACACGAGTTTCCTGCCGCCGCTGATGTACGCAATCCTAGGGTCGTCGAAGCACATGGTGATAGGGCCGGTGTCGGTGGTATTTTTTCAGCGCCTCAATAAGCCCCCTTCCACCGCTCTCAACCGCTCTGGGTCCCCTCATCCCTCCTCCAGACACGAGTTTCCTGCCGCCGCTGATGTACGCGATACTGGGTTCATCGAAGCACATGGTGATAGGGCCGGTGTCGGTGGTGTCGCAGCTGCTGGGCGAGCAGCTGAGCGCGCAGGTGGACCCCGCCAAGGAGCCCAACCTGTACAACTCGCTGCTCACCACCACCACCTTCCTCTGCGGCCTCTTCCAACTCGCCATGGGGCTGCTCAGGTGGGCCACACGGGGTGAGATGGGGGAGGGTGGATAGATGGGAGATGGGTCTTCTCAGGAGGGAAGAAGGGGTGCGCAGGTGGGACAATGGGGTGAGCTGCACGCTCACCATCGCATTGCAGCAACTGAAGGTCCTGCTCGCCTTCCCTTGCTCTCTCTACCTGCCCTGCTTTCTCCTTTCCACAGAATGGGTTTCCCGGTCGACCTACTGGGCCAGCCCACCATTGGGGGGTTCTTGGCGGGTGCTCCCTCACCATAGCTCTGCAGCAGCTCATGACCCCCTTCGTCCTCCCTTGCTCTCCACCCGCCGCCCTCCGTACTCCGCCCCACAGAATGGGCTTTCTGGTCGATCTACTGAGCCAGCCCACCATCACGGGGTTCCTGGCGGGGTGCTCGCTGACCATAGCGCTGCAGCAGCTGAAGCCCATTCTGGGGTACAGTGACTTCACGCTCAGCACCAGCGTTGTCAACATCTTCAAGGCCGTCGCCCAGTACTCCGACCAGGTGGGTGCTGTGCGGTGCTGCTAGGTGGTGCTGCTGCCGTGTGTTCGGTGCTGCTCGGTGCTGTGCGGTGCTCCCTAAGCATCCCGTTTCTTATTGGTCCCCACGTGCCATGTGCGTGCTTCGCATGCCCCAACCCTCCTCTGCCCCCCCACGTGCTTCCCATGCACCAGGCTTCCTCTATCTGGTCCCCATGTGCTCATCCGTCCCCCTATGGTCTCATCCCCTCCATTCCCTGCATGTGCATGGTGCAGTTCCAATGGCGTGCCTTCGTCCTCGGCTCTTCCTTCTTTGTTGCCCTCACCATCCTCCGTATCCTCGTGAGTCACATGCCCACACTCACCATCCTCCGTATCCTCGTGAGTCACATGCCCACACTCACCATCCTCCGTATCCTCGTGAGTCACATGCCCACACTCACCATCCTCCGCATTCTTGTGAGTCACATGCCCACACTCACCATCCTCCGCATTCTCGTGAGTCACATGCCCACACTCACCATCCTCCGCATCCTCGTGAGTCACATGCCCACACTCACCATCCTCCGCATTCTCGTGAGTCACATGCCCACACTCACCATCCTCCGTATCCTCGTGAGTCACATGCCCACACTCACCATCCTCCGCATCCTCGTGAGTCACATGCCCACACTCACCATCCTCCGCATTCTCGTGAGTCACATGCCCACACTCACCATCCTCCGCATTCTTGTGAGTCACATGCCCACACTCACCATCCTCCGCATTCTTGTGAGTCACATGCCCACACTCACCATCCTCCGCATTCTTGTGAGTCACATGCCCACACTCACCATCCTCCGCATTCTTGTGAGTCACATGCCCACACTTACCATCCTCCGCATTCTTGTGAGTCACATGCCCACACTCACCATCCTCCGCATTCTTGTGAGTCACATGCCCACACTCACCATCCTCCGCATTCTTGTGAGTCACATGCCCACACTCACCATCCTCCGCATTCTTGTGAGTCACATGCCCACACTCACCATCCTCCACATTCTTGTGAGTCACATGCCCACGCTCACCATCCTCCGCATTCTTGTGAGTCACATGCCCACACTCACCATCCTCCACATTCTTGTGAGTCACATGCCCACACTCACCATCCTCCGCATTCTTGTGAGTCACATGCCCACACTCACCATCCTCCGCATTCTTGTGAGTCACATGCCCACACTCACCATCCTCCGCATCCTCGTGAGTCACATGCCCACACTCACCATCCTCCGTATCCTCGTGAGTCACATGCCCACACTCACCATCCTCCGCATTCTTGTGAGTCACATGCCCACACTCACCATCCTCCGCATTCTCGTGAGTCACATGCCCACACTCACCATCCTCCGCATTCTTGTGAGTCACATGCCCACACTCACCATCCTCCGCATTCTTGTGAGTCACATGCCCACACTCACCATCCTCCGCATTCTTGTGAGTCACATGCCCACACTCACCATCCTCCGCATTCTTGTGAGTCACATGCCCACACTCACCATCCTCCGCATTCTTGTGAGTCACATGCCCACACTCACCATCCTCCGCATTCTTGTGAGTCACATGCCCACACTTACCATCCTCCGCATTCTTGTGAGTCACATGCCCACACTCACCATCCTCCGCATTCTTGTGAGTCACATGCCCACACTCACCATCCTCCGCATTCTTGTGAGTCACATGCCCACACTCACCATCCTCCGCATTCTTGTGAGTCACATGCCCACACTCACCATCCTCCGCATTCTTGTGAGTCACATGCCCACACTCACCATCCTCCACATTCTTGTGAGTCACATGCCCACGCTCACCATCCTCCGCATTCTTGTGAGTCACATGCCCACACTCACCATCCTCCACATTCTTGTGAGTCACATGCCCACACTCACCATCCTCCGCATTCTTGTGAGTCACATGCCCACACTCACCATCCTCCGCATTCTTGTGAGTCACATGCCCACACTCACCATCCTCCGCATTCTTGTGAGTCACATGCCCACACTCACCATCCTCCGCATTCTTGTGAGTCACATGCCCACACTCACCATCCTCCGCATTCTCGTGAGTCACATGCCCACACTCACCATCCTCCGCATCCTCGTGAGTCACATGCCCACACTCACCATCCTCCGCATTCTCGTGAGTCACATGCCCACACTCACCATCCTCCGCATTCTCTTGAGTCACATGCCCACACTCACCATCCTCCGCATTCTTGTGAGTCACATGCCCACACTCACCATCCTCCGTATCCTCGTGAGTCACATGCCCACACTCACCATCCTCCGCATCCTCGTGAGTCACATGCCCACACTCACCATCCTCCGCATTCTCGTGAGTCACATGCCCACACTCACCATCCTCCGCATTCTTGTGAGTCACATGCCCACACTCACCATCCTCCGCATTCTTGTGAGTCACATGCCCACACTCACCATCCTCCGCATTCTTGTGAGTCACATGCCCACACTCACCATCCTCCGCATTCTTGTGAGTCACATGCCCACACTCACCATCCTCCGCATTCTTGTGAGTCACATGCCCACACTCACCATCCTCCGCATTCTTGTGAGTCACATGCCCACACTCACCATCCTCCGCATTCTTGTGAGTCACATGCCCACACTTACCATCCTCCGCATTCTTGTGAGTCACATGCCCACACTCACCATCCTCCGCATTCTTGTGAGTCACATGCCCACACTCACCATCCTCCGCATTCTTGTGAGTCACATGCCCACACTCACCATCCTCCGCATTCTTGTGAGTCACATGCCCACACTCACCATCCTCCGCATTCTTGTGAGTCACATGCCCACACTCACCATCCTCCACATTCTTGTGAGTCACATGCCCACGCTCACCATCCTCCGCATTCTTGTGAGTCACATGCCCACACTCACCATCCTCCACATTCTTGTGAGTCACATGCCCACACTCACCATCCTCCGCATTCTTGTGAGTCACATGCCCACACTCACCATCCTCCGCATTCTTGTGAGTCACATGCCCACACTCACCATCCTCCGCATTCTTGTGAGTCACATGCCCACACTCACCATCCTCCGCATTCTTGTGAGTCACATGCCCACACTCACCATCCTCCGCATTCTCGTGAGTCACATGCCCACACTCACCATCCTCCGCATCCTCGTGAGTCACATGCCCACACTCACCATCCTCCGCATTCTCGTGAGTCACATGCCCACACTCACCATCCTCCGCATTCTCTTGAGTCACATGCCCACACTCACCATCCTCCGCATTCTTGTGAGTCACATGCCCACACTCACCATCCTCCGCATTCTTGTGAGTCACATGCCCACACTCACCATCCTCCGCATTCTTGTGAGTCACATGCCCACACTCACCATCCTCCGCATTCTTGTGAGTCACATGCCCACACTCACCATCCTCCGCATTCTCTTGAGTCACATGCCCACACTCACCATCCTCCGCATTCTTGTGAGTCACATGCCCACACTCACCATCCTCCGCATTCTTGTGAGTCACATGCCCACACTCACCATCCTCCGCATTCTTGTGAGTCACATGCCCACACTCACCATCCTCCGCATTCTCGTGAGTCACATGCCCACACTCACCATCCTCCGTATCCTCGTGAGTCACATGCCCACACTCACCATCCTCCGCATTCTCGTGAGTCACATGCCCACACTCACCATCCTCCGCATTCTCGTGAGTCACATGCCCACACTCACCATCCTCCGCATTCTTGTGAGTCACATGCCCACACTCACCATCCTCCGCATTCTTGTGAGTCACATGCCCACACTCACCATCCTCCACATTCTTGTGAGTCACATGCCCACACTCACCATCCTCCGCATTCTCGTGAGTCGCATGGAGATGCGTGATATCCCATCCTATCCCACCCCACTCCACCCTACCCCACCCCACCCATCCCACCCACAAGTCGCTCAATATCCCCAGTCCATCACACTTTAAGCCTGGCCTGCATGGCCTGTGACATGACGTGGCATGACGTGGCATGCGTGACACCTGTGGCTGGAAGAGCACAGCATGCTTAGGAAGGCTGTGGTGTGAACACATCAGCACCGCACAATAAAATGAAAACCATGAAGTTTTTAATTTTTATGCCATGACGTCCAGTTTTTATGTCATGGACATCAGACCTTGACATCCATTATTGATGCCAGTTTCCATGCCACCAGGCCAATGTGTAGCCAGAAAGCAACAACCATTCTTTTTATTTCTATGCCTCCCATGCCAACCACGCCATGCCATGCCACACCATGCCATCCCACGCCATGCCATGTCATCCCATCCCACGCCATGCCATGCCATGCCATGCCATCCCATCCCACGCCATGCGATCCCATCCCACGCCATGCCATGCCATGCCACACCATCCCACACCATCCCATTCCATGCCATGCCATGCCATGCCATGTCACACCATCCCACACCATCCCATTCCATGTCATGCCATGCTATGCCATGCCATGCCATGTCATGCCATCCCACAACATGCCATGCCATGCCATTCCATCCCACGACATGCCATGCCATGCCACACCATCCCACACCATCCCATTCCATGTCATGCCATGCCATGCCATGCCATGCCATGCCATTCCATGCCATGCCATGCCATGCTATGCCATCCCACGCCATGCCATGCCATGCCACACCATGCCCACCAGACGAAGATCTACCCCAAGAGCAAGACACTCTTCTATGCCAACGCACTGGGCCCCATCTCCTCTATAGTCCTCTCCACTATCATCGTGGGCGCCTCCGGCATGTACAACAAGGGCGTAGCCACGGTGAGTGTAGGAGTTCAGTCTGTTCAGTTGAGATGTCTCATCAGCTGGGCTGGGCCTCATCTCCTCTATAGTCCTCTCCACTATCATCGTGGGCACGTCTGGCATGTACAACAAGGGTGTGGGCTTAAAGCTGCGGTCTACATTCTAAATGGTATTTTCTGGGGGTATTTCGGGTGCACACCCTAGGACACAGTCTGATTTGCTCACGAAATGATCCTTTTCCAAAAATCAGGGCGCGAATGTTTCAAACACAACTGGCGAATCCCGCCAGTTTCGTGCAAGGCTCAGTTGGGGAATACTAATTTAGTGAGGTTGGGGTTCCTTTCGCGATTTCGCCACAACCTGCAACCAATCGAGGTTGGGGAGGAGATTGGCGCGAAAATTGTAAGCCAATCCTGAGCAGGCCAATTTTTGGAGGGAAGCAAAGCAAAGCAGTAACTGCACCTCGCCACTCGAGGTTGGAGCGAAGCCCTGTGCTACCAGGTTTTCAAGTGATAAACCGAGTCCTCCCGCAGGAAGTATGTAGGCGACAGCTTTAAGGCTTTGCTGCTGTTGAGACTTCTTGCAAAATTGTGAGAGGGGTTGTTTGGTGGTGATTGTGGGAGGGCTATTGCCGTGCTCTATCTGGTGGGCTTCTGTACGGGGGTGTGTGCCGAGTGCACGCACACATGCGCCCTGTTCAATCCTGTCTGTTCACCCCATCTTGTTTTCCATATCACCCTGAAGGCATGCTGACTGACATTCAGGGGATCTCTCTTCATCCCTCTTCACCCCTCCTGATCGCTCCCCCCCTGCCGCTCCTGTTCACGGATGGGCAGCTTTACAACGGGGCTGGGCTGGGAGGCATGTTTTCAATGTGGGCTATTCACTCATCTGACTCTCCTGCCCTGTGATCCTCCCTCTGCCTCTTCCTCTCCCTCCCCCTGCCTTTCATGGACACACACAGGTGGGCAGCATAAAGACGGGCATGGGCGGCATGTCATCGGTGTGGGACATTGATCTGCACAACGAGTATACTGACGAGGTCGCACTGATTGCTCTCTACGCTGCCCTTGTCTCCCTTGCTGTGAGTAACTAGCCGCCCTTCCCTGCAACCCTAATCTTCCCTGTTCCTCCGCCCCCTCCTCTTCTCCCTTTTCCTCTCCCCCTCCAACCCCCCCCCTCCCCTCCCCAAGTTCTCCCGCCACCCCTTCTCCCTCTCCGCCCTGCCTTGCTCTTGTGTGTCGCGATTTCGCAAACGCATCGCTTTGGTCTAACTAGGGGCACTTAGCCTTCGTACTATATCTTTCTGTCTGTCTGCCTCTCCCCTGTCTTCCTCTACTCCTTGCTGCTTTTGTACTTTGAGTTGCTGGTTTATTGTGGCAATTCTCATAATGCGCATCTCTTTGCCCCCTGTTTTCACTCTTTGTCACAACTTCCTTACTCCAGTTCTCCCTTTTTTTCCGTGTGTGCGTGTGTTTGTGTGTGCGTGTGTGTGCGTGTGTGTGTGTGTGTGTGTGTGTGTGTGTGTGTGTGTGCTGTGTGTATGCGCGTGTGTGTGTGCGCGCGCGCACGTGTGTGTGTGTGCGTGTGCGTTTTTCTTTCTTTCTGTCTTTCTTTCTTTTTGTATAGGAATCGATTGGCATAGGACGCACATTTGCGGGCATGTATGGTTACCACATCGATGGTAACAAAGAGGTGAGCTGGATACCACACTCACCCTCCAACCACTCGCCCTCCCAGCGGCACTCATCTTATTAATCAGGCCCCCTTCTCTTTCAGGTCCTTTGTTCCATCCACGCATCCGTTCCTTCCTTCACATCTTGTCCTCTCCGCTCCTCACCTCCTCCCCCCTGCTCACGCCCTCCCCCCACTCACCCCCCACCCCTCCCCCCCTCACCACCTCGCCTGCAGCTCATAGCCTACGGAGCCATGAACCTCTCAGGCTCCTTCACGTCCTGCTACGTTGCCACAGGTACGCTGCGGTCGAATGCGGTGACACGTGGTGGGCACTGTGCCCTGTAGGACCCACACACGTCAGGGCATTGCACTGCACCCTGCAGATGAACTGCACCACCCCACACTGAGCTCTGCACCACCCCACAGTGAGCTCTGCACCTTTTGAGTCGACTCAAAAGTCACCTGCACCACCCCACAGTGAGCTCTGCACCTTTTGAGTCGACTCAAAAGTCACCTGCACCACACGCCCACAGTGAGCTCTGCACCACCCCACAGTGAGCTCTGCACCTTTTGAGTCGACTCAAAAGTCACCTGCACCACCCCACAGTGAGCTCTGCACCTTTTGAGTCGACTCAAAAGTCACCTGCACCACCCCACAGTGAGCCCTGCACCACCCCACACTGAGCTCTGCACTACCCCACACTGAGCTCTGCACCACCCTGTACTTGCCCAACCACTCCCAAGCAGCGGCAGCCCCTCTTTCAGTCATCGCATCCTGAACTAGTCCCCTTGCTGTCCCCTTGGTGTTGCCCCATCTCTCCTGCTCCATCCCCCTTGCCCCATCCTCCATGTCCCATGACCCCTGGCCCATTCCCCCTGCTGCCCCCCTGCCCAATCCCCCCTGCCCCTTTCCCCCTGCCCCATTCCCCCTGCCCCATCCCCCCTACCCCATTCCCGCTGGGCCCTGCCCTTCCCATCTTCCCCATCCTCTACTCCTCGCCTCGCTCTCTCCCCGTGCCCTAATCCAGTTTGCTTTGCTTTTTAGAGACTTTCAGGAATCAACTCACCTCCTGCAACCCTGTCTTCTCATCAACCCTGTCTTCTCATCAACCCTGTCTTCTCATCAACCCTGTCTTCTCATCAACCCTGCCGCCCTGCATCCTTCCAACCAACCAACCTGCCCCACTCCCTTCCTTAAACCCCTCCCCCCTTTTCCCTGCCAGGCTCCTTCTCTCGCACGGCAGTGAACATCTTGGCAGGGGCGCACACAGCGGTCCGCAGCTCGTCTTCATCCCCCCCCCCAACCCCCCTTCCTTCTTCATCCCCCCCCCCAACCCCCCTTCCTTCTTCATCCCCCCCCCCCCAACCCCCCTTCCTTCTTCATCCCCCCCCCCCAACCCCCCTTCCTTCTTCATCCCCCCCCCCAACCCCCCTTCCTTCTTCATCCCCCCCCCCAACCCCCCTTCCTTCTTCATCCCCCCCCCCCAACCCCCCTTCCTTCTTCATCCCCCCCCCCAACCCCCCTTCCTTCTTCATCCCCCCCCCCAACCCCCCTTCCTTCTTCATCCCCCCCCCCAACCCCCCTTCCTTCTTCTCCCTCCCACCAGGCTCCTTCTCTCGCACAGCAGTGAACATCCTAGCAGGGGCACACACAGCACTAACACAAATCATCCTCGCCCTGACCATGCTCGTTGTGCTCCTTGCTGCTGCCCCCGCCTTCAAATACGTGCCTGCTGTAAGCCCTCTTGAGTCGATTCAAATACGTGCCTGCTGTAAGCCCTCTCACTCACCCCCTCCCCAAACGTGCCCGCTGTATGCCCACTGCCCTCTCAACCCCTCCCAATACTTGCTCATTGCCCTCTCACCAAGGTTCAAAAATACGGTAAACGTAAATTACGGCTCGTAAATTACGGTCTAAATTTACGGTGGTTTTGGCAAAAATACGGTCGTTTTTTAAATGGACATTTTTTGCGGATTTTTTTTTTTTTCCAGAAATTCCTAGAAAGCTTACAACGATGACAAGGAAGGCGACAACATACTACACTACAGAATGGTGGTTTTTGCCCTGGTTTAACTTGGTGGTGTTGCGTTGGCGAATGGAATATGCAAAAGGGATGAGATGGAAGGGATGAAGACGAACGCTATTGGTTGGAATGGTTTTGCAGTGTCGAAATTGAGTTGAGTAGCGCATGCGGGCGAAAAAAACGAACGGGCCGCGAAACGACCCACCGACTTGGCGAAACGGGTAGACTTGTGTTATCCGTTCGCCAAATGTACAATTTGCCGCGTCGCACAAATTTGTACATTTGCGATTCGGCGAAATACACAAACGAGTGGGCGAATGGGCAACAAACCTGTTAAACTGTCACCAAAATGCACAATGTCGCGCCTCGAGATTTTGCTGACACTCGCGACTCGGGAAAAAAACACTCTCGAGTGGGTTTGGGGCCACAAAAATTCTCACGAACAGGTTGACGGTTGGGAAATGTTGAAATTCGCTATACACAAACTCGGTTTCAAACTTTCGGTCGTAATTTACGACCGTATTTTTGAACCAACCTAATTTTGCAACGTCAAACCGTTTTTTACCGTAGTTTACGACCGTAAATTACGATACCGTAATTTACGGTAAAATTTCAAAAATACGGTCGTATTTTTTAACCTTGCCTCTCACCCCCTCTCAATACATGCTTGCTGTGTGCTCTTTCACCCCCTCCCCAGACCTCCCCGCCCCGCTGTATGCCACTGCCCTCTCAACCCCTCCCAATACTTGCTCGTTGTATGTCCTCGCTTCCCCCCGCTCCTTCTCCCTTCCAATTCCCGTATCCCATGTGCGCTGTCTCACTCACCCTTCTCCCCATCCCCCTCTCTCTCCGCCACCGCCTCTCTCTCCATCACCCTCTCTCCCCATCCCCCTCTCTCCCCGTCCCCTTTCCCTCCCCCATTTTCCCCTTCCTCCCCTCCTCTCCCTCTCCCAACTTGTGCTCTCGTGCTCTCCCCCGCTGCAGTGTGTGGTGGGAGCAATTATCGCCAACTCGGTGCTCAACCTGGTACCCCCTCCTCCCTATCGCCTTCCCCCCTGTTTCACTCCTCCCTATCGCCTTCCTCCCTGTTTCACTCCTCCCTATCGCCTTCCTCCCTGTTTCACTCCTCCCTATCGCCCTCCTCCCTATTTCACTCCTCCCTATCGCCCTCCTCCCTATTTCACTCCTCCCTATCGCCCTCCACCGTATTTCACTCCTCTCAACTCTCTCCTTGCTCCTCACCATCGCCCCTCCTTCCAAATTCTCCATCTCCCTACTCCATCTACTTGTCCCTCTCACCTCTTTCCCTTGATTTGCTGCTCCTCCCCTGTGTCTTTGAGAATTTTAAAAAAGACCCATATACATCAACTTGTCCCTCTATTACCTGCTTCCACTTGTTCACATCACACCATCATCCGCCCCCCCCATCACCTTGCTCCCTCGCTGTCCTCCCCAGCATTTCCCCTCTGCCCAATCCGTAATCATGCTTCATTCTCACTTGCTTCCCTTCATCCCTTGTCCCATCCCATCCCCTCCCACTCATCACCCCTCCCTCCCTCATCTCAGATCTGGAGGTTGGACAAGCTGGACTGCATGGTCATGATCGGATGCTCCCCCACAGCTCTTCCCCTTATTCCCGTGTCCCTTTATTTCCTTATTCACTTGTTCTCTCCCTCTTCGCAGTTTGACTTCAAGGCGGCATTACAGATCTGGAGGGTGGACAAGCTGGACTTCATACTCATGCTCGGCTGCTTCCATGACTCGTCCCCTTGTTAACCCATTCTCTCCCTTCCTCCGTTATTCCCTTAATCCCCCCACATCAGCTCGACTTCAAAGCCGCGTTTCAGATCTGGAGGGTAGGCAAGCTGGACTTCATAGGCATGCTCGGCTGCTTCCGTCCTCTCCCTCCTCTTAGCCCCTCCTTCCCTCCTTCCCTTCCTCCCGTTTCCCCTCCCAACTGTCCCCTTCCTCCCTCCCCCTCGCAGCTCGACTTCAAAGCGGCGTTTCAGATCTGGCGGGTCGACAAACTAGACTTCATAGTCATGCTGGGCTGCTTCCTCGGGATCATCTTTGGCTCGCCCGAGATCGGTCTGCTCGTCGCCTCTGTGCTCTCCGTCCTCAAGCTCCTCCTCCGCATCGTCCGCCCGCACATCCGCCTGCTGGGCCTGCTCCCGGGCGGCGCCGCTACAGCCGTGAGCGTGCTACAGTTCCCCAACAGCACGCTGTGCGAGGGGATCGTGATGCTGAGGATTGAGAGCCCGCTGTACTTCCCGGCTGCGAATTTCTGCCGGCAGCGCATCAAGAAGCTGTGTGATGCATATGCGAGGGGGTACCAGCAACCCGTGCGGGTGAGTCTGGTGATTTTGCTGCTGTAGAGGGCTTGGTGAGGGGTTAGTGAGGATGGGGGGTTGGGGAGGATAGAGAGCAGCTGTATTTCCCTGCCACTATTTTGTGCAGGCAGCGCATCAAGAAGCTGTGTGATGCGTATGCGAGAGGGTACCAGCAACCTGCACGGGTGAGTGAGTCCAATTGATTCTGTTGTGAGCGAGGGGCTTGGGAATGGTTCCTGAGGTTGGGGGGTTGGGGGGATTGATAGTCTGCCTGTACTTTCCTGGGCCTGATTTCAGCTCACACTCTCTTCCTCGTTGCGACCCTACGGCATTGCATTCTAGACTTGCCCGTCACGCATGACATTGACGTGTTGCCCAATGCACTGCCCCTCTCTTTCCCACCAATACTTCCACTCCCTCTCCTCCCTCTCATCCCCTCACTCCCTCCCCCAAGTTTCTCCTCCCACCTTCAACATTGCATTCCCAGGAGTGTCATGCACGATATTGACGTGTTGCTTGCCGCATATCCTATCCTTCCTTTCCTCCTCGCCTCCCAACAGCACTGCATTCTCGATCTGAGCGTCATGCACGACATCGACGTGTCGGGCATCGACGGGTTGAAGGAGCTCCACCGAGACCTGTCTGAGAAGAGCATTCAGGTACAGACGGGTGGAGTGTTAAGGCTAAGCGGTAAAAGATTTAGGGTCGTGCCTTGGTGAGTGATGTCGTGAGCAGCGAGGGTCGTATGCAACCCCTCTGCAGCTCTGCCTATCCAGTGCATCAAGGGACGTGCTGCGCAAGCTGCGGGACGCCAATTTCCTGGTCGAGATGGGAGAGCAGTGGCTCTTTGTCACCCCCCTAACCTCACCTCTCTCACTCCCACCCCATCTCACCCCCATTTACCCTCACTCCCTCCCAGCTCTGCCTATCCAGTGCATCAAGGGATGTGCTGCGCAAGCTGTGGGATGCCAACTTTCTGGCAGAGATGGGCGAGCAGTGGCTCTTCGTCACTCCCGCCGACGCCGTCAAGCTGTGTCGCTCCATGGCCGTGGCTGCACCGGCTGTGAAGGAGCAGGACGAGCTGTTGGCATCAGTTCAGGTGTATGACATCTAAAGGGGCTGCTACAACTGCTGCTGCTGTGCAACAGGTGTATGACACCTAGTGGGGTGTGTTTGATTGTAGGGAGGCAAGACATTGATGCCAAGCTCTGTCGCTCCATTGGCTGTGGCGTGGCAGCGCCGGCTGTGAAGGAGCAGGACGAGCTGCTGTGGTCCGTGCAGGTGTATGACATCTAGAGGGGCTGCTGGGGCTGCTGTTGCTGCGCAGCAGGTGTACCACATCTAATAGGGGGGGTGTGATTACAGGGCGCCAACACTTTCATGCCAAGCTCTGTCGCTCCGTGGCAATGGCAGCACCTGCTGTGAAAGACCAAGCCGGGCTGGTGACGTCCGTGCAGGTGTATTGACATGGAGGCTTGTTGCCTCTGCAGCAGGTGTACAAAATGAAGTGCGGCTGCTACTTCATTCCGTGTGCGTGTGCACGACATCAACCTGCTGCTCCTGTGACAGCGCATGAAACGGCAGTCAGTGTGCTGCAGCATTGCCTACAACACTTGTGTTGTGTAGGTTGCAGCAATGCTGTGGTCAGCTTTTGTGCAACAGGATGTGGTGCTGCCGTCTGTGCAAAACTTGGTTTGGGTGTTTGATAAATTGGAAGTGGCGGCAGTGCTTGGAATGTTGTGCAGCCCTGCCTTCCATTTTTTACTGATTATGACAGTGTGCAAATTATTGTATACTGAGGTGTAGTTTATTATAAGAGATAACAGGACGTGTCTCAGCTGGTGAGATGTTAGTCTAGGTATCGTAAGACCGGAAGTTCGGGTTCCAGCGCCGTCCCAAAGTTTTGCGGCATCGCAAGGAAAAACCTCGCTACGGAGGATTCGGTATCAGTGTAATGTACAGTGTACCCTGATACCGCCGGGGTAACCAAAATCGCTATCAGCGTAAACCGAAACTTAGCCTGTTGCTCTAGGGTAAAAAGTTTGATACCCTGTTTTGAAAAGAGCAACTGGGAAAAAGCGGCCGCCCATCAGGGCAAACAGGATATTTTACCCTGATAATTTGGGCCCTGCTGATGAGTGCAAATTGGGGACAAAACCTTGGCAGCATTGCGATTCAGGGGTTTGGTGTTGCTGAACGGTGGCTGGTGTCTTTGTTCCATTATTTCTTTGATTAGCGCAGGATTGTAGATATATGTACCTTAAATGCTATTCCACAAAGCAATCCTACACTACAATGTTATGTGAACTGTAAGGAGATTTCTAATCCCTTACGGAGTCACTCTGTACGTAACTTTCGGAAGATCAGGCTGGTCGTCGACTTGTACCCACAACCCAAGACCAGCACCCAACCTTATCTCTCCAAGGTTACCGCCTTGTGTGGCTGGCAGGCAATCTCACTTGTCCGGCATGATCAGGTCAGGTAAAGCAGAGGCATTGCCCCATTTGCTTTGGCCTCTTTGGCATGATCAGGTTAGGTGCGTCATTGGCCGAGTGGGATGTTGCCAATCTGGCGGGTTCCATCAATTGGCTGGATTAACGTGGGATGGTTCTACTGAACTGTATAGCGCGTATGCTACACATGATGCCCGTTTGAACCACTCCCTGTTGCCTTGTTAAGAAGGCTAATAAACTACACTTGCTCTTCGTCAGTGTTCGTAGGTTTCGTTACACTTGTAAAGTGCTTCTAAAAAATATTCGTAACCAGCTTATTTGTCTGTTCCGTAACAGTGTGGGTTGGCCACACTTGGCATTAGTGGGTGCTCTTTGTTACCAGGTGTTATCAATGACAAATGGTATGAGCGTCAGGCGAATGCACGCACGATGCTGACGACGTTTCGTCCACCCCTTTCGCAAGTCTGTACTCTAGCCTAGAAACAAGGCAAATCTGGGCCAACCTGGTTTGGTCTGTGATGCACGTTCAGTTTTGGTCGAAGCGCGTCCACTGTGCTATGCCATCCATGTGCCTGTACCGTGGGAGCAACATCCCGGGGGCAAAACCTCGGGTGCAGCGTTTCCATCCGGTACAAGGCAAATTCGAGTGCACGGGCTGGGCATCATGTGTAGATGTCCGTCGAACTCGAGAGCTTGACATGACATATGTTTGGAAGTCTAAGCCCAGGAAACGTTCGAAACAGTGAGGCCGAAAGTTTTGTGGAATGCCTGGCCGTACTTTTTGGAATGCCCTGGCCGTCTACTACCTAATCGCGAAACAGATACAGTCACTCATGGCGCGGTTCTTGCGGGGGGAAGCTGGGACGGGGGAACTTGGGGGAGTTGCGGGTAACTACCGTAGACTAGGGCGGGGCAGCGGCGGACAGCCGGCTCCTCCTATCCAGTCACCACCGCGCGCCTTTTCCCTTCAAGGATTCGTTGTCATTCGCGACAAGTTGTCAGCCAAGAATGTGCGTTCACGTGCCATTCTCGCCAGGCCACCCATTTTCTCTCTTTTGTGGCTGCAGAAGTCACTCGTTTGTGCGGCCAACTTCGATTAGACGTGAGAAGAATTGAACAAGAATGAAATGAGTATGAACGAAGTGAGTACAAATAGGAAACCCTAATTGTGTTGTACCCCCTATGGGATACCCCACTATAGCCTACACAAACAAGTAAGCTATATGTTCTGACACACCCCCATAGGCAAAGTGGGGGAGAACAAGGGGTCACAAGACCAGTCAAGCAAAGCAAAGCAAAGCTCAGGGTGGATCACGAAGTCACCACGCATTCCGAGCACAAGTTCAAAGGCCACAAGGCCAGTTCACATGCAAGATCATATATAGAGGTATACAAGAGTCAAGCAAGCAAGAGCAAGAGTATATATATGCGAAGGTACAAGCAAGGTCAAGAGGAGAGCAAGTGAGGCAAGACAGGCACAAGACCCAACTGCGTGCAGCAACGCTGATGATCACAAGGCGCAAGTGCCTTGGTGAAGACATCAGCAGTGTTGGCCTCAGAGGCCACGTACGCAAGTCGCAGCTGTCCACGCTGCTGTAGCTCACGAGCAAGAAAGTAGCGAAGAGCAATGTGCTTCGTTCTGTGCTCCAGTCGCTGCTCTCGACACAAGGCCAGCATGGCCTTGTTGTCTACGTACAGGACTGGAGGAGAACGAGGCTGCTCTCCAAGGTCGGTCAGCAGGTAGGTGAGCCAGCGTAACTCCTGTGCAGCCATAGCCCCAGCGTAGATCTCAGCCTCACAACTGGAGCCGAGAACAGAAGACGAGCGGGTAGCCCGCCACGAGACAGAGTCGGAACCAAGGCTGAAGGTGTAACCCTGTGACGACCGCTGCGTAGCCTGGTCGTCAGCCCAAGAAGCGTCTGCGTGCCCAGTGAGGACCACTGGACTGCGCCCTCCAAGCACTAGCCCCATGCCCGACGTACTGCACAAGTAGCGCAACACCCTCTTCGCTGCAGCCATGTGCTCTGGTCGGTGTCTCCCAGGAGCAACAAAGCGTGCGAGAATGCTAAGAGGGTATGCGAGGTCAGGTCGTGTGCAGGTCATCAGGTACATGAGGCAGCCAACAAGCTCTGCAAACGGGCCACTCGACTCTACGGACTCATCCGAAGGCAGAGCTGAGAGCGAGTGGCGAGTAGGCAGAGGAGTGGCCTGAGGCGAGGAGTACGTGAAGCCGAAGCGCTGAAGGACCTGCTGCACCATGTGTGACTGAGTCAGGGTAATGGTGCGGCGTGCTCTGTCCCGGGTGATCTGCAAGCCAAGGTAGCTGCGCAGTTCACCCAGGTCAGTGCACGTGTGTCTCTTCTGCAGCTCGGACTTCACGTAGGCGAGTCCAGCAGTGTCAGCTGTGGCAAAGACCAAGTCGTCGACGTACACGAGGATGTAGAACGGCGGCAGAGAGGTGTCGGTGCGCAGAAACAGCGACGGGTCGGCAGTGGAAGGAGCAAACCCAAGTGCCGCGAGCGTAGTCCTCAGTGTGTCGTGCCACTCACGTGGCGCCTGGCGGAGACCGTAGACTGGACGCCGGAGACTCCACTGGGTACCAGGAGGGAAAGACCCAGTGAAGCCAGGTGGGCGACGCAGCCAGATCTCCTCGTGCAGGCTGCCCTGCAAGAAAGCTGTGCTGAAGTCGAGAGAGTGCAGCTCGTAGTCACGGTGAGCAGCAACGTGCAGCAGAACCCGAAGAGTGGTCATCTTCGGGGTGGGGGAGAAGGTCTGAAAGTAGTCAACCCCCTGCCGCTGACTGAAGCCACGAGCCACGTAACGCGCCTTGAAGACAGGCGGAGAACCCGGCGGCCGCTTCACCCTGAAAATCCACATGCCACTGACGATGTTCGCCCCAGGAGGGGGAACAGCGTCAACGTAGGTGCCTGTGGACTTCCAGGAAGCCATCTCTGCATCCATAGCTGCCTGCCACTGAGAGGAGTAGGGACCCTCTATCGCCTCCGCGTAAGAGCGCGGAGTCGGGATGTCTGGTGCATCCGGGTCTCCCTCAGGGGCTAGCAGTACAGACGCGAGACGAGGTGAAGCTGCGGCCAGACACTGGAACTCCTCCTGCCTGTCCTCAAGGACGTCCGTGCCAAGGGCACACTCACCCCCGACGGACGGAGGACAGGCGGACTCAGACTCAGTGACAAGACGAGCAGCGTAGTCTAGATGACAGCGCGCAGCAAAGTCGACAAGCTCAGTGACAAGGGCAGACGCAGCAGACGACTCGAAGGAGGGGTCAGTGACAGCAGTAGCCAGGAGACGCGTGACAGTAGGACTGGCAGCACGAAGAGAGTCCGACTCCGGGTCGGCAAGAGCAGGAAGAGAGGAAGCAGGAGGAGAAGGCAAAGGGGCACGCAGAGGAGCAGTGGACGGACGCAGTGACATACGGTGCGTGCCAGGGACAGGAGGAGGACGCTGACGCGACCCGCGACCACTAGCGCGCTCAGTACGAACAGGCGACACAGGACGAGACGCAGGCTCACGACGCTCAGTAAGACCTCCAGTCGGACCAGCGTAGGGAGAAGGAGCAGGCAAAGGGGAGGCAGGCTGTAGCTGTGGCTGTGACCGGACAGGCTGCGGACCCTCTAAGGGAGGAGGAGGAGGTGTAAGACCA